TTTATTGCTTTCTTGATTTTCACTTGATATATTATTAATAAAGTCATTATCAAATTTTAACATTTCAGAGAAGCATACACAACCATTTTCTTCAGGGTTTTCAAAACAATTTGCTATTAGGTTTTCTGCATCTGTAAAACTATACCAAGCTATATCCTCATTATTGTCAATTTCATTAATTATTGTATGTGAATCATAATCTTCAGTAACATTTAAGCTTTCCTCTACATTTGTTGCTTCATTAACAGATTTTTTTCCTTTCTTGGTATTTGCGCAGTCATTACAATTAGAAAATTCCTTCATTTTATTTCCTCTTAGTCGAACAAACTCATCATGTGTCTTAATCTTGTCACAGCGGGAACATCTTTTACTATTATCCGAAAATTCCATGATATTATAGAAAGGTATATAAAAATTATTGAGATTAAATTATAGTGAGGGCAAGAATAAGGAATATTATAGTGTAGCGATTGTAAAGGCGAATGGTTGCTAAAAAGTATAGAAATGTGAAAAGAGAATATAAAATAAGTTGACTAGATAGTGTAATGATAGTAAAGATAAGTGGTTGCTAAAAAAATGAAATAAAATTTGTAGATAGCAGAGGTATATAGTTACGCAGTTCAAAATGTGTATGACGATGTTTTTAATTAAATAAAATTCGATTTAAATTAAGCAAGTGTTATTGTATTATTTAGTTTCACCTTTTTATATTAAAGGTATTCATTACATAATTAATTTATTTAGAAGATATTGCACATTTAATTTATTTTAATTACGAAAATTACGCGTTTAATTTAATTTCGAAGATATTACGCAATTTATAAGATATTAATTACATTTAATTTAAATTTTCAAAGAATTATACAATTTCTAAAGTACTATTTAATTTAACTTCAAAGATATTAAGCATTTAATTTCTAAGACGTTTATTTAGCATCCTATTTTGCATATTAATTTTTACGAAGATATTAATAATTTATTTCATGAATCTTTAATTTCGATGTTAATTTCAAAATATATTACATATTAATTTTTTGCTACATATTACATCTAAATTTGATATTAATGATTAATTTCGAAAATACTCGATAAATTATTGAAGATAAATCACCAAATTTGTCATATAGCGGTAAATCAGTAACATTGAATTTTCGCTAATTAAAATGGATCTACGAAGTGATTTCCCGATGTATACCACTCCGATTTAGCTCGGAGGTCACGGTACCGCCAATTTTTTGCGCCATCACTATTTCACTC